ACATAGCAATGTTATAACTTCACTGTGACACTGAATCACGGATGCATTTGAATGGTATCACCAAGACAAATGCACATAAAAAAAAACGATAAAAATAAATAGTTATAAAAAAATCTGGTCTGCGATTACAGCTCTCTCACAGATTTATAGACACACTGTTGCAAAGGCAACATGACATCATCTGACATACACACACTGATATGCAGACACGCACACACCTTCTCAGCTCTCAGTTTGGTGGACAAATGAAAAGAAAAAAAAAAGCTCTTTCCGATTTTATCCCCCTCCCAACTTACTGGGCTGTGTCCTGAAATAGGAATGCAGTCTGTTCAGGTAGTGTGGCAAAACCAGTCAGAGAGAGACTGCAAACAGTAGCAGTCTCAAATCAAATAAAAAATAGCATTTGTGTTATGATGGGTGAAAGGTTAAAGGTGAGCACAGGTTCGAACACAGGTTTAATCCCCTTCTGCAGTGCAACTGTGAAATACTGACCAAAAACAAAGCAAATGCATGCAAGCACATACACACACACACAAATACACAGATGAGAGATGGCTTGTGCTCTCTGCTCTAGTGTCTGGTTACATGCCGTCCTCCATTAGGCACTGAGAGCTACTCTACTGGGACCCCACAACACACATGCAGATACAAACACACACTCTACCCCTCTGTCTTCTCCAGGGATGGGGGGATGATAGTAGCAGACAGAAAAGTATTGATGTGGAGAATGGGAGAGCAGGCAGACAAAATGATAGATGTGAGCGCTAGTGAGTGTATGTCCAGAGTGAAAAACATTCAGGATGAGATTTAAAAGCAATGCTCCGTATATTTACATTTTGAAGCTTTAAATTTGGATGAGTAATATAACTTATACGGAACAGATCAGCGACTTAATAGATAATTCTGATATTATTTATTCACCCTCATAACGTTCCAAACCTTTATGACTTTCTTCTGCAGAATGCATTATTTATTTTGAAGAAAGTTGGTAACCAGTTTTGGTTACTACTGACCTCCATTGTAAAATAACCACTGAGACATTTCTCAAAGTATCTTCTTTTATGCTCCACAGAAGAAAGAAAGGCATACAGGTTTGGAATGACATGTGGATGAGTAAATGGAGTAAATTAATTTAAATTTTTGGGTGAGCTTTCCCTTTAAGTAATGATCAGTGAATATGTTGTTTATAATTAAAGTTCTTTATTTGTCTCAGTGTGTCACTCACTTCGCATTTATTTTTAAGGATTTGTTTGTTTTGAAGCACAAATAATTTTCTGCATCAGATGCAGCCTAAATTTTTCTTTCTCTCACAACCAAAAACATTCACACACACCATCTGCTCCCACAGTCTCCTGATGGTGCTGAGATATTTTTTTTGCAGTAGTGAGAAGAGCAAAACGGAAGGGAGATCTGGAATACATTTTGTCATTTATTCTGGCAGGGAAGCCCTGGAATCCCTCAATCTCAAACATAAATAAAAAGAAACTAACTAAATTAGTGTGTGTGTGTGTGCCTACTTAACCATATTTTGGCGACAAATTTGTACCCAAAAGTGAGCAAAACCTCCATTTGGGGACGTCCTCATTTGTAAAACTGGTATAAAAATAAAAAAACGTTTTTTTTAATTGTAAAAATGCAGAAAGTTTTCTGTGAGGGGTAGGGGTGGGTTTAGATTAAAACGTGTATAACTATCTGTATATAAAAACAATATAAGTCTATGTAATATCCCCATTTAGATAGCTAAGTAACGTGTGTGTGTGTGTGTACACACAAAGTCTAATTTTTACTTTTTAAAAGAACTAACAAGGTATGATAGTTAAACATTGGACTGCTTGGTCAAAGGTAAAGCCCTATTAAAAAGTAAAAGCCAACCAACTGCACTCTCCAAACTAGACACTAGACCAGACATGTCGTGTCAAAGTGTGTCAACTATGAAACCGTGACTGTATGGTGTTTAGGCCATGGTATAACATTAAAGAAACATATTTTGCATCTTGCACAGCTGCATCCTTCATGAACGTGTGAAAGCAGACACTACGTACAGCTGTGCAAATCATCATACGGAGCGAACTCTAGATTCAGTTTTGCAGAAATACTCCTTAAAACTCACTCATTAAGCTTGAGATTTAATATAAACATGATGAAAAGAGTGAATGACGGACCGAACAGGGTCAGTACCTTTCGCAGCGCCTGAACGAACAGGCCTCGCCATCTCGCGCTGTTCTCCTCGCTGGAGCTGAAGTCGTGCTGCATGCCTGCGGCTCTGCATCGGGAACAACCACCCAAGTTTATCCGCTCTTACGGCGCGCACACACACACAGTCAAAACAAGCTCAAACTCTTCCACATTTACGAACCAATAATGCTTTTCGACACGTGAAGCAGCTCATTCTGTGGGAAAAAACTGTTTTTAATAAAATTAAGCAGTTTTAAAGAGTGTAAAAGTGTCCGGATCTCTGTCCTGACAGCCGTTGGAGTGTCGCGGGTTCCCCGCGAAGCGCTTGTGCGCTAATTAGCCGCTAACATATACCGAAATTAGCCGCACATGCTAGTCGGGCAGTTCGCCCAGCTGCTCCTCAAACAGGACAGCCGATGTCATGTCTTTCTCAGAAGGGGATATGTTAAATGAGGCGTTGAGTGTCGTCAGGCGGCGTTCGTCTCGCGGTGTTGTTGTGCCTGCGGTTAACAGCAGCACATCTGGCGGCTCTGTGGCCTCGAGACTCTTCATGAAGCGCGCGAGCAGGAGTTTCTCCAACGCGAGACTGTCATGTTGTGGGAGTACGTCTGCTGGGCATATTCCAGTCACCAAAGCGATGTCTGAATCCGTTATAATCCGACGAAAATTCGGGGAGTGCTAGTGTCTTTTTTGTTGTTGTTGGTAACGTCCCGATTCAACTCCGATGTAGTGCGCTCGTGTCTAAGACGGTGTAATCACAGCTGCTCACTGCGCGCGCTTCCCGCATCTGCGCAGCCCGGAGGGAGGGGAGGGATCGCCCGCTAGCGAGCACAGCAACATAGCACATACAGGAGATGTCTTATTTTGGCACAATAAACACACATACGCTCAAGCGTATATTCCAAAATCATTTTAACAATGACACTATTCTATGTGACTTTAAGAAAACGGCACTGAATAATCTTAAATGCTTAAAATAAGTTTAAATAGACTGTCGCCCCTTGCCAGTGCTATTTCTTAATATTATTTATTATTATTTGATTATTTTAGTTACTATAAATCTAAAAATCCCCCAAATTTCCAGCCAACCACTGCCACCGTGTGGTCAAGAGCGGAATGGTCACGTATGAGCACTTCACACTTCACGGATCTGATCATGGGGTAACTTAAAGGATAAGTTCTGTCATCATTTACTCACCCTCCACTTGTTCCAAACCTGTATGAGTTTCTTTCTTCTGTTGAACACAAAAGATATATTTTTTTAAATGTTGGTATCCGAACAGTTGATGAGCACCATTGACTTCCATAGTATTTTGTCCCTACTATGGAAGTCAATGGTGCTCATCAACTGTTCAGATACTAACATTTTTCAAAATATATTCTTTTGTGTTCAACATGGACAGAAACTCATACAGGTTTGGAACAAGTGGAGGGTGAGTAAATGATGACAGAATTTTCACTCTGGAAGTTAACTTTTAAGCAATTAATGCTCTAGAAAAAAAGGGGTTCTCAACCAAGTGGCCGGGGCCCACAGCAAACCTTTTAAATAAGACAAAACAAGCATTAAAATAAGCTAAAACAACTAAAAATCAAGATGTTTCAATCTCAACAACTGCTCACAACCTCAAATTCTTTGAGGAACAAGGGTACCTAGGAAAAACCTGGATATATGAGGTGTGTGATTTATAGACAAGTAATGATATGTGACCCTGGACCACAAAACCAGTCATAAGGGTCAATTTTTCGAAATTGAGAATTATACATCATCTGAAAGCTGAATAAATAAGCTTTCCATTGATGTATGGTTTGTTAGGATAGGACAATATTTGACCGAGATACAACTATTTGAAAATCTGGAATCTGAGGGTGCAAAAAAATGCATATTCTTCTTAGCAATGCATATTACTAATCAAAAATGAAGTTTTAATATATTTACAGTAGGAAATTTACAAAATGTCTTCATGGAACATGATCTTTACTTAATATCAATGATTTTTGGCATAAAAGAAAAATCAATAATTTTGACCCATACAATGTACTTTTGGCTATTGCTACAAATATACCCCAGCGACTTAAGACTGCTTTTGTAGTCCAGGGTCACATATCAATAAAATATTGAAGAGTAATGTAAATTAATAAAATATTAAAGTTAAAAATATTAAGGGGCATTTCTATAGAGTATACATTTTTATAGTTATGTTAAGCTTTAAAATATATTTTGTCTTGAAATTTAAAGTAAAAAAAAAAAAAGTAAATCACAAACAACTGTAATAGTCATGTATATTCATTAGTTAAAAAGAGTTTGATCCTTAAAGAACATTCAGCATCTATCATTTTTGGAATCCTGAAATTTAATTGACAAAAACAAGCAGTGTCAGGCCTTCAAATATTGTTACAGACAATGGGAGACCTTGGCGTCAAAAAAAGATGAGAACCCTGGTTCTACAATGCACAAATCAGAAGTTTTTTTTTTTTTTCCGAATGACCCGATATCTTTCTTCAGACATGAGAGATTAGTGATAATTTAAAGACCCATCAGCTAATAGAATTCACCATGCTTTATTTTTTACAAATTCAGATATGGAGTGAACGCATACATTTATACATTGTTTTAAGGCAGTTCTTTTTCCTCATAAATCATCAGATTTACAAAGACATATTAACATAATAAATCTCCTAAAATCTGCATCATTTTCAGAAGATACATTAGAAAAGAGCACCAGAAATGTCCTTAGATTATTACTGTTCCCCACTACTATAAAAGTAACACTTATTCTATAATGAAGTATTTTATACTCTGAATTGAAGTATAAGAGTGAGAGTATAATCAAGGTTATGGTAACGTCATCTGAGGTATGTCTACAGTTGAAATCTTTTCTCCATCTCATCTGCGATCAACTCAGCGATGGCCAGGGAGGAGCTTGCAGCGGGTGACGGTGCATTGCGTACATGCAGAATCCGGCTGCCCAGCTCTCCCTTCCCTCCATCAAACACAAAATCATCCACCAGGTTTCCTTCAGCATCCAAAGCCTGTGCACGCACACCTGACGGCCCCCTGCACAAACCAACATGCAGAAACATTTACAAGCAGGACAATTGTAATAATAAATGAGATTATGTATGACTCATATGATCCTTCTCAATAGTGTTTGTGTGTCTGTACCTGAGGACATCACTGGGGTTCAGTTCAGGTATGAACTTCTGCAGGTTCTTTACCTGAGCACTGGTAAACACACCTCTGTATATTTCCCCCATTCCATAAACAATATTCTTCATTACCAGCCTCTGCAGACCCCTACATACACACATATACATTATGAACATGAGCAAGGAGCCTTGTTTTTAATTCAAGAAACTGTCTTGAATGAACACCCCTATGAACTTAAATAAATATTCTGGGTTCAGTAAGCTCAATAGACATCATTTTTGGGGTAATGTTTCGACTCATCCCTTGTTTTATAAAAAAAAAAAAAAGAACAATAATTTAGGTAACGACGAAGCACTTACAAAGGAAGTAAATGGTACCAATTTATTTTAAAACCATTTATAAAAACACATTAATTTGTCTAATAAAGCATATTATTTGAGCTGTAACATTGTCATTTTTATGGTCGTTTTAGAGTTTTAGGCATTATGTTGTCATGGTAACAAAGTTGTAAAATTGGATATAACTACACAAGTTAGTAAGTAATTACACTAATTTTTACACTAAAATCATGTTAACACACATTATTTAGTCAGGTGGCTATACTATTGAGTATTTTAGCATTTAATGATTGACCCCATTCACTTCAATTGTAAGTATCTCACTGTAACCTAGATTTTTTTTTGTATAATCAAGGTTATGGTAACGTCATCTGAGGTATGTCTACAGTTGAAATCTTTTCTCCATCTCATCTGCGATCAACTCAGCGATGGCCAGGGAGGAGCTTGCAGCGGGTGACGGTGCATTGCGTACATGCAGAATCCGGCTGCCCAGCTCTCCCTTCCCTCCATCAAACACAAAATCATCCACCAGGTTTCCTTCAGCATCCAAAGCCTGTGCACGCACACCTGACGGCCCCCTGCACAAACCAACATGCAGAAACATTTACAAGCAGGACAATTGTAATAATAAATGAGATTATGTATGACTCATATGATCCTTCTCAATAGTGTTTGTGTGTCTGTACCTGAGGACATCACTGGGGTTCAGTTCAGGTATGAACTTCTGCAGGTTCTTTACCTGAGCACTGGTAAACACACCTCTGTATATTTCCCCCATTCCATAAACAATATTCTTCATTACCAGCCTCTGCAGACCCCTACATACACACATATACATTATGAACATGAGCAAGGAGCCTTGTTTTTAATTCAAGAAACTGTCTTGAATGAACACCCCTATGAACTTAAATAAATATTCTGGGTTCAGTAAGCTCAATAGACATCATTTTTGGGGTAATGTTTCGACTCATCCCTTGTTTTATAAAAAAAAAAAAAAGAACAATAATTTAGGTAACGACGAAGCACTTACAAAGGAAGTAAATGGTACCAATTTATTTTAAAACCATTTATAAAAACACATTAATTTGTCTAATAAAGCATATTATTTGAGCTGTAACATTGTCATTTTTATGGTCGTTTTAGAGTTTTAGGCATTATGTTGTCATGGTAACAAAGTTGTAAAATTGGATATAACTACACAAGTTAGTAAGTAATTACACTAATTTTTACACTAAAATCATGTTAACACACATTATTTAGTCAGGTGGCTATACTATTGAGTATTTTAGCATTTAATGATTGACCCCATTCACTTCAATTGTAAGTATCTCACTGTAACCTAGATTTTTTTTTTAAAGAAAACTAGGTGAAATAAATTTTTGTAGTAATCAAGGTCTGTAAGATTTTTTCATTTGAATTTTTTACGCTTGTGCATTTATTTGAGCAAAAATACAGTAAAAATAGTAATATTGTGAAATAATATTACAATTTCAAATAATTGTTTTCTATTTTAATATATTTTAAAATACAATTTATTCCTGTGATGGCAAAGCTGAATTTTCAGCAGCCATTGCTCCAGTCTTCAGCATCACATGATCTTTCAGAAATCATTCTTATATCCTGATCTGCTTAAAAAACTTTTTTTTTTTTTATCATTATCAATGTTGAAAACAGTTGCAGCTTAATATTTATTTCCAAGATTCTTTGATGAATGAAAAGTTCAAAAGAACAGCATTTATTTGACACAAATCTTTTGTAAATATTTTTACTGTCACTTCTGATCAATTTAATTTACTGACCCCAAACTTTTCAACTTATAGATGTCAAAGTGTATTTCATTGTACCTGTAGGAGACCGCATTAATGAAGTCTTGTGTGTCGAAGTCAAAGAGTTTATATCCCTCCCGTTTAAAAGCCAACACAGCGTTTGGGCCCAGCCAGACGCTACCGTCCATACGAGGGGTGAAATGGAATCCAAGAAATGGGAACCGTGGGTTTGGCACCTCAGCATACAAACAGAGTCCTTAAACACACGTTCTCATATATCTGAGCATTATGTGTCTGTGTGGGGTGTTTCTACTCACAGGATAGATGTTGCCCCTGACCAGGTAATTTTTCTCTGGCTTGAGCACCAGGTAATCTCCTCTGAAGGGAACAATACGGGGCTCTGAACTACAGCCAGATATCTCAGACAACCGATCAGAGTAAAGGCCTCCACACGTCAACACAAACCTACACCTCACCTCCTTCCCCTGCACACAAACACAGCCATACTAAGACACCAAACCAAGAGATCATAAAAACATGATTCATACACATCAGTTTCTCACCTGTGAGCTTTTGATGATGATGGGATATTTCAGGCCTAAACACACATAAAGAGATGAATACAGTGATATTAAAGAAAATAAAGAGGTCTGAGACTTTGAGCAGGTCACGTGACACACCTTCAGCACTCCCAGCTGGGCTTTCTGCTGCCACCTTAATGTCAGATGCTTCAAAGTCAGTTATCACAGTGCCACCCACTTCCTGGAAGTCCTTACCGTAGGTCAGAGCTACTAACTGCCAGTCAACAATCCCTGTGTTTGGAGAGTCCAATGCCATGATGCCCTACGGAGAAACAGAAAATACCATTCATTACATGTACAGTCCATTCTCTGTGCAAAAATGGCACAGGTTGGCTGAATTCAGCAGTTCCCAGCAGATCTGATTGGCTGGCACTTCCGGGACTTTAGGGTTGTACCAGTAAAAAGCTGAAATTCTGCTTCATTTTCTAATATAAACTGGGTTTATATTAATTTTGGACAAACAGAAATTCTGATTACTGAAAGTCACACTATAGTCTGTTGTAGTATTACATATTTAACAAAATATTATCTATAAACAAAAACAGTTATTAGTTGCATGTTATGATGTTCGGATGATCTCTTCCTGTCTAAATGGGCTTTTTTAAAACAAATTTATAATTTTGTAATATTATAAGACATTTATAATATTACAAAAAGTTTCTATATCTAATAAATTCTGTTCTTTTGAACTTTCTATTCATCAAAGAATGAAAAAACTGTATCAAGGTTCTCACTAAAATATGAAGAACAATAAAATGATCAGAACAAGTGTTTTCAATATTGATGATAATAAGAAATGTTTCTTGAGCACCAAATCATCACATTAGAATGATTTCTGAAGGATCATGTGACACTGAAGACTGGAGTAATGATGCTGAAAATTAAACTTTGCCATCACAGGAATAAATTACATTTTAAAACATATTAAAATAGAAAACCGTTGTTTTAAATTCTAAAAGTATTTCACAATATTAAAATTGTTCCTGTATTTTTAATAAAATAAACGCAGCATTTTGACATCTTCTTCTTTCAAAAACATTTTAAAAATCCTTCCGACCCCAAACTTTTGAACTGTAGTGTATGTGAGGGCCAGCTTAACATAAACTGACATAACCACTGAGGTTAAAACACGTTATACAAAATACAAATACATACATGATAGTCATAAATAGGTTAATTGTTCAGTGTTTGAAACAGCAGGCCTAAGGTCACCTGAATCAGGTAAAAGCCAGATGACAGCACTTTTGCAATCTCCTGGTTACTGATCAAACCAGTGGATGGTACAAGAGTGGAAAATATGAACCCTATTTTTCATTAACACACAAACAGATGTCACTCACCCTGCAGTATGGCTCTTTCTCTCGGATGGCCTTGGCATCAATCAGCCGGAGATCTTGTACATTGTTCATCTGACCGCGCTCATATAGAGCTTTCAGTCGGGGAATCTCCTCTCTCTCCACTGCTACAATAAGCTGAAGTCACACACATACACACTGGATACTATAGAGTCAATGCTCTTTGGCTCTTTAAGGGGGCCTATGTTCGTTCTCACCTTGCCACATCTCTTATAAGGCACACCTTTCTTCTGGCAGTACTGATATGTCAGCGTGGCTCCACGAACACAAAGCTGAGCCTTCAGAGAGCCCGGCGTGTAGTAAATCCCAGAGTGGATCACACCACTGTTATGACCTGTCTGATGGAGAGCTGTGGGAAGGAATACACAAAAGAAATGAATAAGAAATCAAGGCGGATATGAAGAAGTATCAAGAACACACACACACTTACCAAGTTCCTTTTCTTTCTCCAGCAGGGTAAAGGTGAGGTTTGGGTGCCTGAGGATCAGCTCTCTGGAAGAGGCCAGTCCAACAATCCCTCCACCAATAATGGCCACATCGAACGAGCTACACATTATAACGGTATAAAATCAGCCGATATTGGATATTTAACTGTGCATAATTATGTCCCCTATTTATACAGTACATTTAGATAACATTTGCCTTCATCTAACACTCTCTTAAAGTGTAGTATAAATCTCTAGTATAAAATAATACTATTCATTATTATGCTGTGATGCCTAAATTCACTTGTAGCACTTAAAATGTCGGATTTTAGTTTGTAGTGTTTTATTTTTAATTTGGTGCCATTTTAAACCTGTTTGACTTTCCATTCTCTGTGGAACAGAAATTAAGACATTTTGATAACTGTCTCTAACTTTTTTTCTCCATACAGTGGAAGTACAACATTCTTCAAAATATGTTATGTTCCACACAAGAAATAGTCAAACAGGTTTTTTTTGTGAACTATCCCTTTATCGGTGCATAGTGTGATTGATTGCACTGACACAATATCCCTGTACAGTCACAATACTTGTGATACTATAGCTGAAGGACTTTTAGTAGGGTACTTAGTGTAACACTACAGTCGGAACACTTTCTGTCAGTGTAAGTACTCTGTACTGATGTTTTAAGTACTCGAGTGCTGTTGTTATTCTCACCCGCTGTGGTGTGCAGCTCTGCACGTTGCATACTTTGATCCCTGTGACAGTAAGCGCGCGCACACAGATCCTGTACCGAAAGTTCGTATCATTATTCCACAAATTACGTTTTCACTTTTCCTAACAGACTTATTAAAACCGTGTAATCATAGTGCTTGTCGCCGACTCGGTATGGTTTAATCTCAGGTAAGGGAATCTTCTTCTGAATCGGTCCTTCGTAGCCCCGCCCCCGACGTACACTCACTGACCAATGAGAGCGCGAGACGTAGTGGCGTAACGGGTGAAAGATCAGCAAGCGCGCATGGAGGACGCAGGATGTAAACATATACAGAACAGCACAGACCCGAACCGCAGCGTCAGTTTTGCAGGTTTTACACTATTCTATTCCTCAAGGTTCTATGTATGGTATGTGTGTTAATGATATTCTCTCTGAGCTTTACGACATTTAGAGGTTTGATAAATTACGTTGTCCTCTATATTCAATGACACGATCACAGCGTACACGGATCATTCTGCTATTAGAAAGTGTCATTAAACTATGTGTTTTCGTGCTTTGACATCTCGTCTCTTTCTCTCTGTTTATCTCAGCCATATAGACACGAGATTGTTCACCTGGTCAGCGCGGAGGGTTTTATCCGCACATAAGCAGCCGTCAGGGGGCAGTCGTGAGTTCTGGGGGTGGCTCAATGCTGTTTTCAACAAGCAAGTCTTGGATATTTTTCAAAACAACAGTTATGTAACTACATTAATATTTCTCTAATGTCATAATTTACTTCCTTTCCCAATCCACAGCAGACTGTAAAGCACCTGAGGCCAATTACAACAACCAAAATGTTGAGTGTGAGAGTCAGAAATATAAAGGGACTAATGTCTAGTGATTAGTCTGTTCCATAGAGTGAGGAATCCCTACAGAGACTAATCTAAGTCTGCTAATTCACAACAACAGCTCTTATTTAGAGTCTGAACTTTAAAATAATAGCATCTAGTGTATGTTTTACGTGCTTTTACTGGTCATCATTTCTTTTTAGTTTCTGCATTTCACTTGAACAGTCCTGAAGTGTGACAAATTAATTTAAAAAGTTCCATGTTGAACATTGCTGTACAAAAACGTTAATAGTGGTCAACAAATATGTTTTTCATTTATCAAATACTGATGCCAAAAAGCTGTGTTGCTGCTGGATGCTATAACATTGAAATACATTTAGTGCAGTTCAGTCACAACAAATAAGATATACAGTGCCGTTCAAAGGTTTGGGGTCAGTGAGATTTTATTTTTATTTATTTGAAAAACAAAAATACTGGTATTTAGCAAAAATGACAGTAAAGACATTTATGTCATGTTATAATGTTGATTTATAATGTTATAAATAGTTTTCTGGTTCAAATAAACTTTCTATTCATCAAATAATCCTAAAAAATGTTTCAGTTTCCACAACAATATTAAGCAGACCAACTGTTGTCAACATTGATAATAATAAGAAATGTTTCTTTAGCATCAAATCAGCATATCAGAATGATTTCTGAAGGATCATGTGACACTGAAGACTGGATGATCATGTAATGATGCTGAAAATTCAGCTTTGTCATCACAGGAAAAGAGTACATTTTGAAATAATATTAAAATAGAAAATAGTTCATCTTAAACTGTAATAATATTTCACAATATTACTGTTTTTCCTGTATTTTTGATCAAATAAATGCAGCCCTGGTGAGCATAAGAGACTTCTTAAAAAAAAAAAAATAATTGACCCCAAACATTTGAATGGTAGTTTAAACAAAACTGAAAATGTACACTATCCATTAAAAATGGCTACAAAAGCAGACATTTAATTGATCTATCACGGGTTTTAGCACACGGAAGTCACTGCTTGAAATGTCATGTCAGCTTCCCAGATGCAGTGATCCGTAACTGTTGTGTTTTTCAATATAGAGTTGATTATGAGCGTATTAAAGCGGTGGGTCCTGATCGAGCTGCTGCCGAGTGGCTCCTGAGGTGCGGTGCAAAAGTTCGGTTCCGGGGTTTCGACCGCTGGCAGCACGACTACAATAGACTCCCGTTGGGACTGGGCCGTTGGGACGGTACCAGATAGAAGCTATTGATGCCACAGAGTCCTGCATCATGTATCGAGGTTTTGATCATCTGGGTAAGTGATCGATTAAACGCATAAACACCCTTCTCATTGCCCTGACCCAGTTACCTTTATGTAGCAGAATTATCTTTTAACCTTTAGCATTGTGACATTACCTATGCAAATTGAATGAAATCATCAGTGAATGGAGAAGGTCAAACACCTGCTTCAACTCTAAGATCTCTTACTCCATTTGCTTCAGCAAAACACTCTTGCATTATTTATTAAATTAGACCCCAGAGAGGGAAAGTTTGTGAAGACGCTACCATGTGTGTGTGTGTGAGATGTGGTGAGACACTGAGACACCGTGTGTGTGTCACAGGTGAGGATGAGACACTGTCTGTGTGTCACAGGTGAGGATGCGAGGTTCAGTTGTGGGAAAAAGTGACGTAAAGCTAAGGGGTGTTTTACACAGACAGATACAGTGCAGTCCTCTTTTTTTCACTCACACTCCGTCTTTTCACACATCCAGGTTTCGTATACAGTACACTACATTTTACATTTCTACACTTAATATGACAGCACCAGCATACTTCAACTTGCCCATTTCACCTAGTCATATGCCGACCAAATGATTATCAGAGGATGACAACCTTGCATTTGTTGTTTATTTAGGATTTCTGTGAACGCCGAAGACAGAAATGATAATGAATAAAAATATTTAACACACAATGACATTGACACTTAAATGATTGTAATTTAATATTTAATTACAATTTAATTTAATATTTATGAAATTCTGCTACATAAGGTAACTGATTGAAAGTGACAATAAAGACATTAATAATGTTAATTCAAAAAATATATATTTAGTTTCCACAAAAATATTAATTAGCACAACAGATCAATTTAATGCATTTATCTCTACTTAAAAATTTATTTATTTAAAAAGAATCTACTGACCTCAAACTTTTGAATGTATTAATTATATCTAAATAAATTATATATACAACATATTTATTTGTTTTAAAAATAACATGTAAGATATTTAAAATAATTAAAAAAGTCAAAATGGTTGCTGATCGTTTGGACTATATATTAATTAATATTTACCAAAGGTATCTAAAGAATTGTTGGTACTAACACGCATTTGTTTTTGTGTTTAGAGGGTCTCGAGCACGTAGAGGAAATCGGGTTCAATAAGTGTATTTATATAGAAGATGCCTGTCTGGAGCATTTGAGTCAAATAAAGACGCTTCAGGACAGTTTGAAAAACATGACGGTAGTTTCCTGTGGCAACGTGACAGATAAAGGAATCATTGCTCTTCATCACCTCAGGTAAGACAACAGCATCTTTAATTTCAGTTGGGCTCTCAGTATTGCCCATAATTTTGTGTATGCGCCATATGGGCATGGTAATTGGATGATGTTGATAATCTCAAATGACTAACTATTGGAGAATTAGTCAACCAGGGTTGCGTTTCCCAGAAGCAGTGTAAAGCAGTTAAAGGGGTAGTTCACCCAAAAATGAAAATTTGCTGAAAATGTACTCATCCTCAGGCCATCCAAGATGTAGATTTTTTTTTTCTTAACAGAAGAAATTTAGCATTACATCACTTGCTCACCAATGGATCCTCTGCAGTGAATGGGTGCCGTCAGAATGAGTGTCCAAACAGCTGATAAAAACATCAGTAATCCACAAGTAATCCAAGCAACTCAACAATTAATTTGTCCGTAAATAAGTCTTGTGAAGCAAAAGCTGCATGTATTACGATGTTTTTATCAGCTGTTTGGACTCTCATTCTGACGGCACCCATTCACTGCAGAGGATCCAATGGTAAGTAAGTGAAGTAATGCTAAAATTCTCCAAATCTGTTCCAATGAAGAAAAAACTCATCTACATCTTAGATGGCCTGAGAGTGAGTAAATTCTCAGTAAATTGTCATTTTTGGGTGAACTGTTCCTTAAAGTTGATCATAGAGACCAGTGCTGCCAAAAGTTTCAGTGATCTACTTTTGAGAAGAACAGCCCTGGCTGATATATTGGTTAAATTGTCACTAGAGTAAAATCAGTGGCTTCTGCTACTGACATCACAAGTCTTACCTCTGATTGTGTGTGTGTATATATTAAGAACGTGGAGTGGCTGCTTCTCAGTGATCTGCCTGGTGTAAAAGATAAAGATCAGACTGTGGACAGACTCCAGACTGCACTTCCCAGACTCACCGTAGAACTGGATCTCGCTTAGCCAATCAGTGCTTCTCAGAGCACATTTGGAAAACCACAACTCTCACAGCCTCATGACCAGGCCAGACAACCCCTCTGGCTGATGTCCGTGACTTGCTGTGGCAACAGTATCCAAGCAACTGAGCATCCCAGGGACAGATGCAGAGCTGCTCTGCTCAGTCAACAACACCGAATTAGCTTTGATCAAACAACATGGAGTTTTGTTATATTGCCATTATCAATACATTGTAAAAACAGTTTTGTTGTTGTTTCTTCATACACGACTTGTTTCATTTCTTATAAAGAAGCTATAGAAACAAATATATGTTGCAGAAAGATCTTTAATGATTTACTCTGAAAACAAACAAGAACGATTTAATTTTCCATCTATT